GTGACTGTACCCCTCCACCACCTGTAGTCTACCTTTCACAGAGTCAAAGGGTGAATGTCAAAGGTTGTACAACCTCATACAGGGTGTCCCTTGTCTCCAAGCCCCACGGGACCTTAAATGACACTGAGGATGACAGGGGTGGTAAAGGGCATGGCTTGGCAGCCAGGCTTGGGTTTGAACACCCCTTCCACTCCTTGCTACATCTCTGACTTTGGACACTCTCCTGAGCCTCATTTTCTTCGTGTATTAAATGAGGACATTAATAACACCTGCCTCATGCAATTGTTGAAAGAATAAATGAGAAGGAGGTGTAGGAAGCACTTAGCTCTTTGCACTAAAAATAGGTCAGTTGTTATTTCTGGTGTGAACTCCAACTAGCACCAGTACTAACACTTGTCTCTGGTCAGCTTTTCTCTCCCCCATTTCCTCGAAGGGAGCCCTGGTGCTCAGTCCTTCAGCACCTCACCTCCCACCCTGTCCCACCCCTTCACTCCCAGAAGATGACCTCACCTCCTGCTTTTCTGAGAAAACCAAGGTGATCCCATGTGGGATGTCTTCCTTTCTGCCTTAGCCCCATCCCACTGGCAAGCTCGTCACCCTCTCTGCAGCCCCCAGTGTGAGGATGAGGGCCCCCTACCTGAGCCTCGGCCCATCTTCCCTCTGAGCTTTGGATTCCGTCCTTGCCCAGCTCCAAGCCTTGCTCCATCAGCTGGCCCATCCCTCCCAGCCGCACAAGGACCCCTCCTCTCCCTGCTCCTCCTGCCTCTGCATACACGGACATACTGAGGTCTCAGCTCCCACGGTGCCTTCCCTTGGCTGAGATACCCTGCTCTGTCCATGCTGACCTGTCTCCTTCCCTCTCTTCTCCTCCAAACCCTTGGGTTGGGGATTGCCACTTCCTCACCTCCCGTTTGTTTTCCAACCCAGGGAAATTGGTTTTCCCAACACCACCCTGTCCAGAACTGCTCTGCCAGGTCCAGGGGACCCTGCTCTCAGCCGGCTGTCACCTACCCCCCACTTGTTGAAAGGCTTGCCCCTCTTGGCTTCTACAATGCTCCCCTCCCTCAAGTTCCCTCCTCCCCCTCTGGCTTTTTCTTCCCATCCTCCTCTGTGGAATCCACTTCTGGCCAGGCCGCGGGTGCTGATGTGCACTGCAGGCCTTTCTACCCCAGCCTGCCTCTCTCCCACATCTGGAAACCCTCTGGCAAGCCTGCTGTTACCACCACCTGTGGGCCTAAGACCTCCTGATGCATCTTCCCCTGAGGTCTCAGAGGCAACTGCCTCCTGGGGACCTCCACCTGGGGTCGCTCAGCCACCTCAACCGAAGCATGTCTGAACAAGGGTTCCCACCCAAATCTGCTCTCCTGCGTGTCTTCCCTTAACTTCATGGGCTGGCCACTTACCCAAACTGGAATATGGATGCCATTCTACACTCCTCCTCCTTCCCCTCCACAGCCCTCACCCATCCCCAACCAACCAAGCCCCAAGTCCCACCAATTACACCCTCCCCCCAAGAACTCCATCTTTTCCTGAGCTTGGGCCACCATCACAGCTTCCCTCTCCCGAACCATTCCACACACATGCAGCATCAGAACGGGCTCCCTGAATAAACAGCCTCGCCCTGGGACACCCTTTGATGCCCCTCAGCACTGCTCCCTTCGAGACCCAGCCCTGCTGACCCCTCCCTCACTCACACTTTAGGGTCCAGCAACACCACGTTGCCGGTCGTCACGATGATCCTGCCGTCTAGAACATTAACCTTCTGTTTTCCCTTCACGGCAACTCTCACTCATACTTCAAGGGGTGCATCAGAAGTGGGTTCCCCAGGGAGACTCCCGTGGCAGGCCACTGCCCCCGAAAATCCCACGGTGCCCTATCTTACACCTTCCTCTGTCACCCTAGCCTGTAACAGACTCACTCCTTGCCACTCCTAAGTGAACTCCCAGAGGACAGTGGCCTGGGCTCTGTCTGCATGTCCTGAGAGCCAAGCCAAAAGCAGTGGCTGCTTTTTCAACCGAAGTCCCTCGGAAGGCATGACAACAGGGACATGAGCCCTTCTCACCAATACATGGGGAGGAAAGAGGAGGGAAGCCGTTAACCTGATCTAGTTCTTAAAATCTGTGGGCACGGTGCCAGGCCTTTTCTGGAGGATTCCTGACTTAATCTCACCTAATCCTCTCAACAATTCAGGGCAGTGGGATTAATATCCCTAATTTGCAGAGGAAGAAGCCAAATTGACTGCTTTCACAGTGACTGTTTTTGATTTTCTTTTTTTTTTTTTTCCTGAGCAAACTGACTTAAAAGTAATTCTATCCTGAGTAATTCACAGCTGGCCCAGGGGTTCAAGGTCTGTTGATTCGGAGACCTGCCAGCAAGGTCTTCTCTCTCCCTCTCTCTCTTTCAGCTCGTCTCACTCCCAGGCCAGGATACCCTCTCCTCTGACCACCACCTTGCTTTTTCTATGCCCCTCTCTGGACAGACCCACCTAGGGCCTTGGTTGACAGCTGTGGGAAGGAGGGAAATGGGGCTCACTGATCAGGGGTGCTTCCCACCAGGGCTGGGATGGTGGTGGCAAGGGCAGCAGCAGCCGTGGCCCCAAACCCTGCTTCAGCTCAGCACGCCCCCTACGACACTGCCAGGGCCCCAGGCACCCAGTATGAAGAGAATGATGGGAAGGAGCAGCTCCAGACTGACCTAGGGCCTTCTAGAACTCCCAGCTCTGTGAGCTCATCTTCCAACAACACTCCCCCGCTGTGCTTTGACTGGCCCACCTGAGCCCCTCGATTGCAGGTTCCTGGGGCATATTAGGGGTATCTCATCCTAACACCCTGGCCACCTCTCTCTCTATCTCTCCTTTAAGAGATGACTTTCCTCCTCCCGCCACATCCTTCTTATGGTGCCCTCCCCAGACAGCCCATCTCACTGTTGAGCTCCTTTGACTCCCAGAAAGTTCTTCCTGAATGCTGAGCCACAAACCACCCCCTTTCTCCACCTACTTGACGACTGTCCAGTAGGGACAGGACAGAGGTTACAGTATTGATGCTAAGGAAACGGTATATGATGCCATGTCTATGCCCCACAGGGGCCCTGCCTGGAGGCTACATGGCACGGCAGCTACAGCACAGCCTTTGGGGTCAGACTGACCAGGGCTGGACACAGGCCCTAGTGACTACCAGCTGGGTGACCCAGAGAGCATGACTTCACTTCTCCATTCCCAAGTAAGGATGATGATACTAGGAGGGGTCAAAGAGACAGCTACAAAGTGCTTAACACACCAGGTTCTTGATAAATACTGGAAATTACCATGAAGAAGGCC